AAAAAGTCAAAACGTATTTATAAAGTGTATTCTTAAATGTATATAACAAAACATATTTATAAAATTAAACGTATATAACAAAACGTATTTACAAAATTAAACCGTATTTTTAAAGTGTATTCTTAAATGTATATAACAAAACGTATTTATAAAATTAAACGTATATATATAATATATAACAAAACGTATTTATAATAAAACATATTAAAAATAACATATTTCAAAGATATTAATAACATATTATAAATTTATTAATTACCAAAAAAATAAAAAAATTAAAATTTTTTTTTTTTTTCAAAGGACCGGCCGTAACAGGTTATGGGACCGGAACCGGGACCGACCGGCTTAACCGGTTATGGGAAAGCTTGACCGGTTATAGAGTTTTTCATCGGGACCGGGACCGGAACCGGGACCGGTTATAGAAGGACCGGTTATGAGCGGTTTTTGTCGCGATTAGGACCGGCCGTAACCGGTTAAGGCCCGGCCCGGGACCGATTTTTGGCCATCTCTAATCCACATCTACAATTAAAGTTTAGGGGTGTTATTTGTAGTATTCTCTAAATAACAGGGACTAAAATTGTAATTTTCTCTATTTTCAAGTATAAATATACACCCTCATCACATAACTTCATTTTACCACTCATTTCATCTCTCGCTCTCCCGGCGTCACTCTCTCTCTCTCTCCATGGGTTCCCGCTTTTTTCTTTGATCTTCGCCTATCCACTGCCTTCTTTCACCTGCATTTGCTGATTCGGTACCCTACCATCCTTCTTCAATCTTGGTTTTCATCATGAATCTTGTACGTTTTGATGAATCGATCGCCACCGGTCATCGTACTCGTCCAGATGTATGCGATTTGTTTAGTATGCGTCTTCTTGACGGACATCGATCTTATTATTTATGGGGTCTACTTTTGATTGGAGAATAGGTTTAGTTCACGTTTTCTTGGATCGATCGCCACTGGTCCTTGAGGTTATCACAAAGCCTTCGTCTCAGATGGACAAGATTTGATGATTATAGACAAGATTTAATGGTACGTCTTCTTGATGGACAAGATTTGATGATCATATGTCATCGCCACTGGTCCTTGAGGTTATCACAAAGCCAAGATTCGTCTCAGATAGACAAGATTTGATGATTATACGTCTTCTTGATGGACAAGATTTAATGGTACGTCTTCTTGATGGACAAGATTTGAGGATTATACGTCATCGCCACTGGTCCTTGAGGTTATCACAAACCCAAGATTCATCTCAGA